TAGCTAGAAGGAAGAACAAGGAGGAGAGGAGGGGGGGGGGGGCGGGTGTGTGTTGGCCAAGAGAGAGAGAGAGAGAAAGAGAAAGATGGGAGGAAGGCAAGCAACTCACCACCTGGACTCATCCTCCTAGATGCAACCTTCTGCGGCGGAGGACACACCGCTCCTGGCCAGAGAAATAAGCAGCCCCTGAAAATGGGGACCTTGTCTGTCTAGTAAGCACAGCTGGTCAGGAACCATTTCTTACAAACCCAGCCCCAGCTAACAGGGCGTCCCTAGCAGGAGTAAGGTGGACCGCGAGCACAGCAATCACCAAACCAGACACTTATCTCACGGAGAGTGGCGTCTGCTCGGATCCCAGATAGACGGCTCTTCCCTGGCATCAACAGGGGTCACAGGCTCGCTGCTCTCCCTCACTTTACATTGCATGAGGGCAGTAGACTCTGATGCGTGACTTCTTTTTCCTTGGTACTAAACCCAGCACAAGGGGGAAAAAAAAACAAGCAAGTTACCATCTCAGTGGGCAACGTCTCATAGGCTCTTCTTTTCGTCTCTCCCACACGACGGGGCTCCGCCCTCAACCCTCCCCATAACACCTTTAGCATTACAACCAAAAAGCACCCCTTTGCAACAGCACCCGACATAGTCACTCTGCACAGCAGACTCAGGCCACTCCCCAGCCGTAATCTCACAGAGTCCCGAACCCAACGAGGAAGCACACAGCCGGTGAAGAATACTACAGCGAGCAAAGATGAGGAATTCAAAGCACTGACCACTTACTCACAGCTAGTTAAACAGGAGGCAGAAAGGTGAGGACTGTTCATGTCTGCTTACATGGATGTCCAGTCTGCTCATGTCCACTTCTGCCACTTTCTTCTCAGGATAGGGCTCTTGGAAAATTCCTCTGGAAGCGCAGCTGCAAAAGCCAAGCATGAACCATCACTACACAAAGCTCTATTGCTGCTTCAAATCTTGCCCTCATCATGACACCTCTCTCCAGTCCCATCTACATCAGCCCCACTTGATGAACAGAGACCGAGTTAACACTGACAGTAACAGCCCTGCATGATATTTCGCCCTCTCCTTCTTCTCCATGGCTCCCGAGACATAGCCTGTGGCGATGCACACGTATCACGCCTGACCGTGTCTTATGAAGGGAGACAGCATGAGGAAAGGCAAGGATAGACTGAGAGAGATAGAGGGTGTGTGTTGGCCAACGTACTAGAAAAGAGAGAGAGAGAGAAAAAACATGGGAGGAAGGCAAGCAACTCACTACCTGGAGTCATCCTCCTGGAGGCAACCTTCTGCTGCAGAGGAGACGCTGTTCCTGACCAGAGAAATGAGCAACGTCTGAAAATAGGGACCTTTTCTCTCCCGTAACCACAACTCGTCAGAAACCTTGTCAAACAAACCCAGCCCAGCTGTACTGGTCTTCCCTACCTGAACTCAGGTGAGGCGTGAGCAGAGCCCTCACCAAACCAGACACTTATCTCACTGACAGCGGCATCTCCTCGGCACTGAGATGGACGGCTTATGCATGGCATCAACAATGCTCAGAGTCTCGACGCTCTCGCTCGCTTTCCATCGCATGAGGGCAGTAGACTCTGATGTGTGACTACTTTTTCCTTGGTACTAAACCCAGCAGAGAGGGGGAAAAAAACAAAAATAAATTAGCATCTCCGTCTGCTATGTCGCATCGTCTCTTCATTTCACATTTCCCATATCCCACGACTCCACCCTCAACCCATCTCCCATTACTACGTTACAACTGCAACTAGAAGGCACCCATTGTAACGGCACCCAAAATACTCACTTTGCTCAAGAGACTCTTGTCCCTTCCTGAGCCTTAATCCCAGAGCCTCGGCCCCAACGAGGAAGCATATGGCCTGGGAAGAAAACTACAGCGACTACAGATGAGGAATTGAAAGCACTGACCTCTTACTCACAGCCAGTGATACAGAAGGCAGAAACATGAGGACTATTCATGTCTCCTTAGCAGCATGTCCAGACTGCTCAGGTCCACTTCTGCCATATTCTTGTCCGGCTACGGTTCCTGGACGATTCCTCTGCAAACTAATAAAACCAAGCAAGAACTATCACTACACAGAGCTCTATTGGTGCTGGAAATCTTGCCCTCAGCCCTGCCTCCCTCTCTAGTCCCATCTACATTAGCCTCACTCGATGAACAGAATCCGAGTAAACACAGACAGATAGTGACAGCTCCACTTTAGCGCCCACAGCCCCGCATGCTTATGTCCGCTCCTACTTCTCCATGGCGCCCAAGACCTGGCCTGTGGGGATGTACACCTAGCATGTCTGCCTGTGTCCGACGAAGGCAGACGGCACTAGGAGAGGAGAGGAAAGTAGAGTGAGAAAGTTGGCCAACACACTAGAAAAGAGAAAGAGAGGAGAAAGATGGGAGGAAGGCAAGCAACTCACCACCTGGAGTCATCCTCCTAGATGCAACTTTCTGCTGCGGAGGACACACCGCTCCTGGCCAGAGAAATGAGCAGCCCTGAAAATGGGGACCTTGTCTGTCTAGTAAGCACAGCTGGTCAGGAACCATTTCTTACAAATCCAGCCCCAGCTAACAGGGCGTCCGTAGCAGGACCAAGGTGGACCACGAGCACAGCAATCACCAAACCAGACACTTATCTCATGGAGAGTGGCGTCTGCTCGGATCCCAGATAGACGGCTCTTCCCTGGCATCAACACGGGTCACAAGCTCGCTGCTGTCCCTCACTTTACATCGCATGAGGGCAGTAGACTCTGACGCGCAACCTCTTTTTCCTTGGTACTAAACCCAGCACAAGGGGGGAAAAAGCAAGCAAGTTACCATCTCAGTAGGCAACGTCTCATAGGCTCTTCTTTTCGTCTTTCCCATATGATGAGGCTATGCCCTCAACCCTCCCCGTTACACCTTTAGCATTAAAACCAAAAAGCCCCTCCCCAGCCGTAATCTCACAGAGTCCCGTACCCAACGAGGAAACACATGGCCTGTGAAGAATACTACACTGAACACAGGAATTCAGACCATTGACCGCTTACTCACAGCCAGTTATGCGGGAGTGAGAAAGGTGAGGACTGTTCATGTCTGCTTACAAGGATGTCCACTTCTGCCACTTTCTCCTCGAGATAGGGCTCCTGGAAAATTCCTCTGGAAGCGCAGCTGCAAAAGCCAAGCATGAGCCATCACTACTTAAAGCTCTATTGGTGTTTCAAATCTTGCCCTCATCCTGGCCTCTCTCTCCAGTCCCATCTACATCGGCCCCCACCGAATAAATGCCGACAGTCACAGCTCCACTTTATCGCCCACTGCCCCGCATGCTTTTCGTCCACTCCTACTTCTCCATGGTGCCCGAGACCTGGCTTTTGGGGATACACATTTAGCATGCCTACCACTGTCTTACGAAGGGAGACAGCACAAGGAAAGGCAAGGACAGACAGAGAGAGAGAGATAGAGGCTGTGTGTTGGCCAAGTGAAGAGAGAGAGAAAGAAAGAGAAAGATGGAAGGAAGGCAAGCAACTCACCATCTGGAATCATCCTCCTAGATGCAACCTTCTGCTGCGGAGGACACACCGCTCCTGGCCAGAGAAATGAGCAGCACCCGAAAATGGGGACCTTGTCTGTCTAGTAAGCACAGCTGGTCAGGAACCAGTTTCTTCTGCCACAGGACAGCACTCCTCCCCCAACCGTCCCCCACATTAAGCCTTCAGCACTACAACCAAAAAGCACCCCTTGCAACAGCACCCGATATTATCACTCTGCATAGCAGACTCTGGCCTCTCCCCAGCCGTAATCTCACACAGCCTCATAGCCAACCAGAAAGCACACGGCTTGTGAACAATACTACACCGAGTACAGGTAAGGATGGCTTTTGCGTGGCATCAACAATGCTCAGAGTCTCAACGCTCTCGCTCGCTTTCCATCGCATGAGGGCAGGAGACACTGATGCGTGACTCTGTTTTCCTTGCAACTAAATCCAGCAGAGGGGGGAAAAAACAACAAAAATTAACATCCCGTTCTGCAATGTCCCACAGATGAGGAACTGAAAGCACTGACTTCTTACTCACAGCCAGTGATGCAGAAGGCAGAAACGTCGACTATTCATGTTTCCTTAGAAGGATGTCCAGGATGCTTAGATCCACTTCTGCCATATTCTTGTCTGGCTAGGGCTCCTGGACGATTCCTCTGCAAACTAATAAAGCCAAGCAAGAACTATCACTACACAGAGCTCTATTGGTGCTGGAAATCTTGCCCTCAACCCTGCCTCTGTCTCCCATTCCGTCTACATCAACCGCAGTCGAGGAACAGAGACTGAGCCCACACTGTCAGTCACCGTTCCACTCTATTATCCACTAATCCACATGGTTTTCGTCCGCTCCTACTTCTCCGTGGCTCCCGAGACCTGGCCTGTGGGGATGCACACCTAGTACCCCTGACCACGTCCTACGAAGGGTGCGTGTTGGGGAGGAAGGAGAGAGAAGGGCTGAGGGGCCCCATGGGTGGAAGGAGGGACTGGGGGAAAGGGTAGGAATAGGGGTGCAGGTTGGGGAATGTTGGAGAAAGGAGAAAAGAGCACTGGAGACCCACAGATCTAGGGACAGAGTGGGGTGCAGGTTGCGTTGGGCTGAGAGTGTTGGGAGGGAGGAAAAAAGGGGGCTGAGGGGCCCAACAGATGGGGAGAAGAAGTGGGGGGGGCTGTTGGGGAGGAAGGGGGGCTGAACAGTCCCTACAGATGGAGGCATGGATGGAGGTGCAGGCTGTGGTGAGCTGGGAGGATGTTGGAGAAAGATGGGGGCTGAGGAGTCCCATGAGTGGAGGAATGAACTAAGGGATACAGGTGTGTGGGTTGGGGAAGGTTGTTGCAGACTGGAGGGTGTTGGGGAGGGAGGGAGGCTGAGGGGCGGTATGGGAGGAGGCATGGATGGGGGAAAGGTAGGGATGGGGTCCAGGTTGGGGTGGCCTAGATGTTGGAGGGAGAAGAAAGGAGGACTGAGGGGCCCAACGGATGAGGGGATAGACGGGGGCGGGTTGGTTTGGGCTAGAGGAATGGGGGTTCGGGTTGGAGAAGTTTGCAGGCGGGGGGGGGAGGGCTTGGGGACCGGGGAAGTGGATTGGGGAAGGTTGCGGCAGGCTGGGGGTGGGAGGGGGATGAGGAAAATCATGGCGGGCTGGGGCTGCGGTGGGCTGGTTTGGGAAAGTTGCATCGGACTGGGGGTGCAGGGGGGATGAGGAAAGTTACAGTGGGCTGGGGGTGCGGGTTGGGGAAGGCCAGGGGTGCGGGGAGGGAACGAGGAAGGTTGTAGTGGGCTGAGGGTGCGGGGGGACGAGGAAAGTTGTGTTGGGCTAGGGGTGCGGGGGGCCGGTTGGGGAAAGTTGCGGCGCGCTGGGGATGCGGGGAACGAGGAAGGTTGGGGCGCGTGGGGAGGAGGGTGCGGGTTAGAGAAGGTCGCGGCGGGCTGGGGTCACTAGCTGAGGCGTGCCAGTACCAAACATACCTGAGGAAGCAGCAGTTTAAAAACTACAACTCCCAGGATGCGTCACTCATGACGGGAGCAACTCGCGTACAACAGAAGTCGAGTCGCGTTCCGACTGCTGATATCACTTCCTCTTCCGACAACTTCCGTTTCCGGCCCCGCTTTGCAAACGGAAGCTGTAATGCCAAAAGCGCCTCCCGCCCAAACAGAGGGCTCTGGGCCCCGCCCTGGCCGCTGCGAGAAGCGGGCACCGGACCCCGCCTCTCCCACGGTGCCGCTGGATCTGCGGTGGCTGATGGGAGTTGTAGGCCAGGGCACACTACATCTCCCACAAGCCACTGCTTCATTCCGTCCCTCCGCCCCCTTCCCCCCTCCCAGCGGGACTTAGCTGGGCACATGGCAATAGTGGGGGCTATGGATGGACGCCGAGGGTCGGGGTCTTCCGAGGGGGAGGGTTGTTACTAGGCCCATCTGGGTTGAAGTGGGGACAGGTTGCTTTAGGACCCGCTCAGGGAGCATGGGAATGGGCAGGAGCAGGAAGGATAGGGGAAAGTAGAAGACTTTGGATGAGGGGGATTGGGGTGCAGGTGTCCCGGGGGAGGGAATGAGAGGGATTAGGGGCTTTATCTAGGCGAGTGGAGGAGGGTGAGTGCCCCGCGGGTTGGGTAGGTTGCAAGAGCTGAAGTGGTTTCAGAAGAGGAAATTGAGGCACATAAGCCAAGGAGGGAAAGCAAAGTTGATGGGGGGGGATGGCTAAGGGTGCCCCACTGTGACCTACTGTCCCCAGTCAGGGGAGGGGTCACCCATCCCCCTCCCTGTGAGGTTGGCTGCTTCCACTGGCAGCACAGCTCAGGGATGCTCCCTCTGTGACTCACTGTTGCTCATATAGAGGGCACGTCTCATAGCAGCTTGTGCTTGTCACCACCCCCTGGCAGCTAGAAGTTTCTGGCTCCTCACTCCATAGTAGGAGAAAACACAGGACACTCCTGTCGGGGATTCGAACCCAGACGGCATGGTTCGTTGTCTGACCGCAGAGAGACAGGCAACACCAGCAAGGTCCAAACACAAGCTCTTTATTGAAGAGTGCACACAACAATAGAGACCGGCCCGTCTCCACTGAGAACCAGCCCCGATTACAATAACTAGTAAGGCTATATAGACAGTTCCGTCGCGTCATAGTTAAAACAACCCAACCCCCCTTTATTAGTTAGAAAGCTTCTAATATTCATGCATATCTATCTTCTTTGACACTACAAACAATTTGTGATGCCTCAGCAACTTCTTATGAGCTTTGTTGTCATGCACCAGAAACTAGGAGAAAGGAGGGAGTTGAGTACAGATGAAGAACAGAAACAGGGAGTGGAGACTGCAAGTCTCCATATGTCCAAACAAACCGTTCCTAGTACATCGTGTACAAGAATGTGCCCCCGCCCCTTATCTCATTCGTTGAAGCCCAAGCAAGCATGTCTTCATGTTTCACAGAGAGACAGGAATGGCCCAGCAACTACTGTTAGCCTCACTTTGGCTAAGCTGGCCAAACAACCTGTTCTATACTCCATTTTCTTGGGCCTAACACTCCCATCTCACCTCCATACCTTTTTCTCCTCGATCCAACCCCCTGCTTAGTGCCTTGCCCCTGCTGTGACATCTCAACATAGAGATGGGGCAAAGGGTATCTGCAAAAATCCTGGGATATCTCCCCTCCAGCATGGTACATGTGGTCCAGAGTGAAGGGAAAAGGGAGTAGCCTGCCCCCTTTCCCCACATGTTTAGTAGTTTGTGATGTAAAAAAAACTGCTGTGACAGTACAAATGGAGAAACAGATCTTTCTATACGTTATTACAGAGATTAAGTGGCACTGTTATGCAAAGGTGCGTTGGAGTTAGAGATGCTAGAATGCACAATCCACCACCACACATTTTTATTTCAAAAAACACTACCAACCTATCAGAATACATTCTTACCCCTTAGAGTAGGCTGTCAGTGTGATAAGTGAAGGGTTAAAATCCATGTGCATTTTATATAACAACCTGGTATATGGATTGTGCCAGCTCTTTTCCAGACCCGAAGTCCAGAGTTTGGTTAAGAGACCAGAGGCCTAGCTAGCAATAGTGATCAGCTAAGAGAAAGCTGGGGTAAACAGATAACATTGCCTTTGCTAAGATATGCTTGGTCAGTAGAAATACCAGATGTTGAAGCAATAACTGAATAATTATGTTTCATCCAATGTTTCAAATTGAACAAAGGATCCCTATTCCTGTTGTGTTTCTCCTGAAGGGAAAACAGTCTTCCCACAGATCCAACCTTGAGTTTTATGAAAATTGGCACATGTCAGTATAAAGATATGGCATCCTTCCATCTCCCTTCCCAGGGACCAATGCCCTGCCTTAACACATAAAGGAGATAATTTGTATTATCATATCCTTTCACTGTTTCTTTGCTTTAACCCCTAGGCATGGACCTGTTGGACAATCAAAGGAGTTGCTCCATTCCTATGGACCCCAAATCAGAATCCAACATGTATATTTTATACTACTAACATTTTATCAAAGTATTAATTAAATGTTAACTTGCTAACTTGAGACCATGGGCGGAGACATTATGTAACCTTTTAACCATTGGCTAATGTGCTATCTTGTCTTGCTGCAAAACCTATCCCGGGGTGTGGAACTGCCTACCCCGTTACTTTCCCCCGCCCATGGAAAAGCTATATATTCCATTGTAATCAATTGATTGACAGTGTCTCTAGGGTTACCATATTTCAGCAAGCAAAAAAGAGGACGGGAGGAGCCCCGCCCTAGCCCCACCCCTGCCCCTCCCACTTCCCA